CCTTGTCGCCCGGTTGGGCTCCTTTTTGGGCTCTGCTTCTTTGGCCGGTTTTATTGTTCCTGCTTCCTCTTTTGGCTCCTTTTCTCGTACAGTAGTCCTGGCTGGCGCCTTCCCGCAGGGAGGGTGTGCGGTTCGGCCAGCGTGTTAAGCGCATGCGCCGTGGAGTTTGTTTTGGTCTGGGCGGTGTTTCAGTGCTGGGGTTTTGCGCCCTTTTTTGCTACAGTGCTTCGCCTCTCGTTCTTCTCCCTGGCTGCGGTATGTGCCCCTTCGCGCCGGGGGTGTCCTGGTTCCCAGTTGTGGGGAGGACACCGCGGTTTTCCCTGTGTCATGGGTGTGGACCGCCTCCTTCGCCTCTCCCTGTTCTCCTGCGGGTCCGGCAGGGTCCGGCTCTGGCGTCTTCACCTGGCGGTGCTCCCAAGTTCTTCTGTGCACGGTTGAGTCGTGTCAAGTTCATGCCACCATTCGCCAGGTGAGTTTCTGCAGTCTGGCGTCTTTTGCCGGGCGCTGGATGCGGCGGTGTTTATATACCTGTCTTTATTTGGGTATATTTTTGTACGACTGAGACCGTTCGCACACCAGTGACTGTCCCTTTATCACCCCTTCCTGTCCCCCTCATGTGCATGTCCAACCCGTGCTGGAGTCATTCAGGGGACCCTTCTTTTTTAATGTTGTGAGGTGTGGGGGTTGTAGGGTTGGTTCTGTACTCACCTGGTGAGGCTCCTGGCTGTGCTTGCAGGATTTGAGCTCTGGCTCTTGGGTCCCGCCTATCTGGTAGAACTTGCGGGATAGTACCAGTGGAGTGCAGTGGTGCTATTGGCACTTTTGGGGAACACTGTATTACCATCAGTGGTCTGTGCTTGTTACACGACCTACTTGCGAGCATAAGCCTTCTTGCTGGTTCGTCCGTGGTTTTCCAGGGCGCACTGGCCTGTTTTCGTATGGCAGTTCCGGCCCGTCCTGGTTGTGGGGGTATGTGGGCCGGTGGACTGCTCCTAGCAGCTGCCTGGTGGGCCATCCTCTGGCCGGTCTGGCCTGACCTTGGGCCGGGCTTCAGGTGTAAAAGAGCTCCCAGTACCTCATCCAGCAGGTATCGAGCGGGGTTTCTCCGCCGTCGGTCGCCTGGTGCAGGTTTCTGGGCCTGCAAGGTTTTTGTCGTGTCTCCGTTGGCCCTGTCTGGGGTCTGCCTGCTCCGTTCTCTGCCTTTGCAGAGGGGAGTTGCTATTTACATGTTGCAGTGGTGCCTGTTGCTGCCGCTGCACGTGTGCATTGGTACCGTGTTTCACGGTGGCGTGTCCTTGTTCCTGTGTCCGGTTGTGGAGTGGCACTTTGCTGCCGTTTTGTGCCTGGGGATTGCGTGCGGTTTTTGTCCCTGCCTGATTGTCCACCCCTGGTTGTTCTCCTGGGGTTTTTTGTGCTTCTGCTCTTTCTTCCTGCCTCCTCTGCAGCAGGGATGTTCTGCGTGTGTTCTTAGGCGTTGGTCAGCCTGTGTCCTGTGATGTGCTTCTTTGTCTCGGTCTATTGCAGTTGTTCGTGCCCCTTGGTTCGGGTCCTGTTCTGGCGGCGACCCTTCCGCCTTCTTTGGTGTTCCTAGCTTGCCCTGCCGGTTGTTGTTTTTTTTTTTTTTTTTTGGGGGGGGGGGTTCTTGCGATGTCTCGCGTCGGACCCGTCGTTTCTGAACTCCTGGCGGGCTTGCATGCTTTGGGGAGTTTTTTCTGTTCGGCAGACGTTCCATCTCCTTGTGCCGCCTGGGTTTCGGTGGTCGCGCCTGAGATCTTCTCGCGGCTCCGCCTTTTTTCCTGGGCTCGGGGGGGGGGGGGGGGGGCCTTGTCGGGGCTGCTTATGTTGTGCCTTGTGGTCTCGCCTCCGGTTGGTAGTCGGGTGGCTTCGTGGTAGGTGTCCCACCTGCGTGCTTCTCTTGGCGGCAGTATGGGTATTTTGGCGGTCCTTCCTTTTCCTGTCCCTTCTTAGGTGGTTACTCTTGTTGGCTTGGTTTACTCTCGGCTTGGTTTTCTAGTGGGGGTTGGGGGCCGTCGTCTTGCCACATACTGTCGCCTCTTTTCGTGCGGCGCAGGCGGAGCCGCTTCAACTTGCTTTCGGTCTTGGTGTTGCTTCTGCACCGTTAGTCAGCTGTCTTGTGCGTCTTTTCACCTCCGGCCTGTTCGTGCGCCGCTTGCACCTTCCTGGTCTCTGGTCAGCGTGCTCTATCTTCTCTTCGGTTGGTAGTGCCCCTTCGGTTCCAGTGTGTTTTACCGTCGGCTCTTTCCTTTGGGCCTTTGCCTCTGGGGGTCGGTTCGCTGAGTTTTCTTGCTCTTCGGTTTTAGCGTTTTGGTTGTTTGATGGCAGCAGTCTCCATCTTCTCTGGCGCGGGGTGGGGCGGCTGCATTCTGGAGGGGTCCAGGGTTTGTTGGTGCTTCGTTGGTCGGGCCGGGGGTGTGTCGTTTTTGTGTTCAGTGGCGGCCCTCCGCTGTTGTTTGCGTGCCACGGCGTTTGGGTCCGGAGTGCGTTTTGCGTTGATCCGGTTCTGTTCTTCCCGGTTCGCGGGTGATGGTGTCCCGGGTGGTCAGCCGTGTTCTTGCGGCTAAGCTGCCTGTGTTCTTCCCTCATGCCTGTGGCGTTCGTGGCTTCGCTGCTCTCGCTGCTGTCTGGGCGACGTGGCCTTGCAGTCTTTCGGGCTTGGCTTTTTGGTGTTCGTGCAGGGGCCTTGCTGCTCGTGGTTCTCGTGTTGTTCCCGGGACTTTCGTGGGCTGTGGCGCCTTGGGTTGGCGTTTGCTGCCGGTTGTCTCGCCTCCTTGGGGGGTGCGTGGTGTCCGCCTCCCGGTTTTGTCCCTTTGACCTTCGTCTGTGGGTAGTTAGCTCCTGGGAGCCGACGGGGCTCCCCCCAGAAAACCAGCGTTGAATGTAATGAAACGCCATTTTCTGGGTGAGACCCGGAGGCTCCCCGGCAACCCTCCCTCCCTCCGGTCGGCGTTTTTCGCGTGTTTTGACATCCAGCCTCAGAACTGATGGGGTGGATAGCCGGCGCGGGAGGTCTGGGGCTCCCCCTTCCCCCTCCCGGGGAGGGGGGGGCTGCGCAGACAGCGGCGCGGTGACGTATGACGTCATACTAGTTTCCTTGTTTTCTGTTGAAGAGTTCTATCCACTAGTTCGGCTTAGGTAGCAATTTTCACCAGAATAGGGGTTTGTTTTGGAATGCTTACCTTTCTGGATGCTTGACCCGGTCGATGGCAGACATAGAATGCTTCCAACCACACGGGGGTTTCTATATGCTGTGGGAGGGAGGGTGGTGGCATTGTCTTCTGACTGTGTGTGGTCACCTTTTATTGACTGCACTCACCATACCAGCTTAGTGGTTCCCTATGGTGAACACAAATGTAGATTCTTGTATATAATGTGTGCATAGAGGGTATAAACAGCAATAGGAGTAGGTTGGGAGCCGCCATTTTGGTGAGGGAGGTGGCGTCGTCTGTACGACTTATCATGTTGTTTACTGGTTACCACTATGGTCTTTGGGCACCGTACCAGTTTACTTGTACAAGTATGGTGAATAAAACAGGTAGATACTTATATATAATGTGTGTATATAGCGTAATAACACCGGAAACAGTATTGTTGGAGGAGAAATATTAGTGCGTCTGGCCTTGAGGGCGGCCGCCACCAGCTGACTGTGTGAGTAGCTACGTCTTTGTGCCTTTACTCACCATACAAGCTTAGATGTACAGTTATGGTGAACAAAACGTGTAAATACTTATATATAACGTCTGTATATAAAAGCAAAAACAGTATGGTGGGAAGTCAGGTGAGGTGAGGGAGGGAGGGAGTGGCAGCCAGTGGCGGGCTGCCACTGCCACTCAGCATACCAACTTAGTGGTTCGTTATGGTGAATACGAATGTAGATACTTATATATAGCGTCTGTATAGAGTGAATAAAAGCAAAAACAGTATTGTGGGAGGAGAATGTGGGCGAGTGAGGTGTTGAGGGAGGGAGGGAGGGAGGGAGGGAGGGAGTGAGTGGCTGGCTGGGTTGTGGCGGTCACTCCTCGTTACTTTTTTACTCATAATAGCAACTTAGTGGTTCGTTATGGTGAACAAAACTTGCAGATACTTATATATAACCTGTGTATATAGTGTAATAACTGACAAAGTATTTGTTCACTTTTGATGAACATAATTGAATCAACAATATGCACACCATATTTTTGAGTACAGCGATGATTCACTCATTTTATTATATAAATATATCACACTACACACTATTCAATAATATTACAGCAAAAAACTATGAAAAATCAGAGACATTGAAATAATTAGGTAATTATCTCTTTGTGGCCACTCCTGCCTGACAGCTGGCGAGCAACAAACCGTCTGGGACGCACGCTGAGTCAGCGCCTGTTTTTTTGCTAGACTTCCCTGTCCTATAGCGGGCAATATATGCCACTTACGATTTTTTTATTATTTTTCCCATGATCAGTGAACACAAATTAACAGGTTTAGAAGAATTTTTTTTTTTTGGTATGTGCATGTGAGTGACACGTGCTAAATAGCCAGGCGCCATGCAAGGGTTAAAAAAACAAAAGAATTTTTTCAAGAGAATTTATTTCCTGCGCACTGGGGGGGTGTCATATTCAGAGGCGGCGAAGTTAAAGGGTTAAGGACTTTTATAAGGCAGATCAGGACTTCACTTATTGGTGAGTACAAACAAAATACGGTCGCATTTACGCCATGAACCTGTCGATTTTTTCCCTTAGAGTGTTTTTTAGTAAATTTGTCAGAAAAATTTCTTTTTACATTTCTAGTTTATTTTTCCCTCTATTTCTCGTTTACAAACTTACATGTTAACCGACGGGTCTCGTCCCCAAGGGGTTTGGAAACCAAGTGGTGCTCTGTATCAGGTACATGAAAGGTAGAGCTATTTACCTATTTCAATTATTTGTGATTTATTAGATTGTGATAATTAAAACAAGTTTATATAAATTAATTTTGAATTTATGCATCATTCACAGTGAATGTTCAGAAGACCAACCTTGAGTCAAATGGAGACTTGGCTATGTGTAATGTAACCGACTTTGCCACACGTGACGCAGGAGAGACTGCCATACATGCTGCCGGAGAGACTTCCATATGTGATGCAGGAGAGACTGCTACACATGATGCAAGAGAGACTGTTACACAGGTTGCAGGAGACTCGGCCACGCTGGATGCTGGAGACTCGGCCACACGTGATGCAGGAGACTTGGCCACACGTGATGCAGGAGACTCGGCCACGCTGGATGCAGGAGACTCGGCCACACGTGATGCAGGAGACTCGGCCACACGTGATGCAGGAGACTCGGCCACACGAGATGTAGGAGACTCGGCCACGTGTGATGTAGAAGACACAGCCTTGTATAATACAGGAGACTTGGCCACATCTGAAGAAAAATGTAAAGCATCAACTGAAGATGTATGCACAGGCAGCAAAATTACTCCCAGTAAAGTGAAAAACATTCCCAAAGAATTAACTGTTGTTTACAAAGTTTCTGTTTGGACCAATATCAGCAAAGTAAAAATTAGGTATGTAATAGTTTGTTCTGTTCAATGATCAGTTCTACTGTTAGTGTCCTACTACACTTAGGATACTAACACACCGTGTACAATACTGTTTACAGTGGCATCTCTCAAATCTGGACCGCCCCTATAAAGGATCCTTCTAAACATTGGACCAAATTTGGCCTCGGGATCTTCCCTTTGACATTTTCAGACAGTCCAGATTTCAGAGAGGACCCATTTGCACTCCAGATCATTAGGCAAAGTAATTTCCTGCAGATAACATTTTGTCTGTATATGTACATTCTTTTGTGTCTGGGGCAACCTCCCAGTGGCTCCCTGAAGCTATTTTGCTGAGATTACTCCATACTATTAAGGTCAAATCAGTTGCAGTTCTAGTTGGCCTACTGGGTACCAGATTCAGAACCTGGCCCTCCCCAGAGACACAGGGAGAGATCGACAATCTGCCACCCCACTGGAAAAAGCCTCCAGAAAGTAGTTAGTGAAGCTATACTGGCAACTGGAGAATTCACAGAACATGAAGTTGCAAATTGTCATTCAACTCCACAAATGATGTACATGGGACAAAAGATTCGTGCACTCTAGCTCGAAACTCATTAGTTCCAAATGCCACCACCAGGCGACCCGGCTACTGCCCACAACTGGCTCCCTGGTCGGTTCTGTTGTTGATGTTATGGTGAGAGTATCTACCAGTAATGCTCTGGTCTGTCCGGGAAGCCTTCTGCTTCAAGTTAAGTTCTGGCCATCCTCGGACTTCGTTCGTCCTGCCATTTGCTGGTGTATTGTTCTTTGATTTTAGTATTGGTTTTATGTGCATTTCTGGGGAGAGCCCCATCACCTCCCTGGAGCTATCCAGGTTGATATGCTAATGTTAGACTTTGGCATCAGTCATATGTATGGAGTTCTGTGGGTCTACCGGGGCCCACGAGCCAAAACCTGGCCTCCCTCACAGAGGCATGAGGAGCAATGGTCTATAGAAACCCGTGTGTGATTAGAAGCATTCTATGTCTGGTATCGACCGGGTTAGGCACCCAGAAACGTAAGCGTCCCAAAACAAACCCCGAATCTGGAGAAAATTGCTACAAAAAACCAAACAAGTGGATAGAACTCCCTAAACAGAAACGAGCAAACGAGTATGACGTCCCACATCGCCGCGCTGTTTTCTGCGCAGCTCCCCCCTTCCCAGGAGGGGAAAGGGGGGAGCCCCAGACCCTCATGTCGGCCATCCACCTCTCAGTTCTGATGCTGATGCTGTAGGCTGTGGTCGTGTGCTCTGGCTCCTGTGATTATTTCAGCACTGTACCTTGTGTGTGGACCAAATAGTAAACAGACCTCAAACCAGCATAATAGATAACAGACCTACCTATAAACACTTATCAAAACCAGAAGTAATGCTTCCACACAATTGGACATCCTTTGGCTAATTCTTAAAGCCAAGGTCACAGAATTGGTCCAAACTTTGTTAGTGAAACATGGTCTCTCACAATCCACAGAGAATAGACAAAGTTGAGAACAATCTTAGAAAATTTAAATTAACAATATCATCACCTTCAAGGATGCAGGACAGAAAAAACTCTACAGCCCTCACAAAAAATGGGTAATAAAGTCCATCTCCGGCGAGCCTCCAAGGGGCGCCGAGAAAGAAGCGTTTCATTAGTCAATGCTAGAGTGTTATGTTAGTGCTACAGCCCAAAATGCTGTGCGTATTAGTGGCTTTAGGCATAGTATGTACTAACTCTATCTAGAAATCCAACATTATATGTAACTCATCTTGTATGTATGTACTTTTACCTAAATAAACTAATTTATTTATTTAATTATTATATATTTAAACATTATTTATGTTGTGTTCCCAGGAAAATTCAGTTAAATTTCATGTCAAAATATATATTCTAAAAGTACAAATAATAACAATGCTACCAATTATCTTTATTGTTGAGAATATATACTGTATTAAAATTTTAGACTTTGCATTGATTTAACAGGTCTGTGATCTGCAGCATTATGACTAGTCAGATACGTAAGATCAGCTTCGATGCCCAGGAGACTATTACATATCTGGTGGAGACATTTGATATAGATCATAAAGAGGGTAAGTGGGAAGCGTGTTGAAAAGAATCAAGAAAACACTTAACGAAGTTTGACAGTGAACACAAGATTAGTTAGTGGAGAAGTGTGATGCAGAGCACAAGAGTAGTTAGTGGACAAATGTGTTGCACAGCACAATAGTAGTTAGTGGACAAGTGTGTTGCACAGCACACATAGGTAGTGGACAAGTGTGTTGCAGAGCACAAGAGTAGTTAGTGGACAAATGTCCGGTTGTGGGTTTACGCTTTTACCTGTACTCACCTACAGGGAAAGAGAAGGGTGGGCCGACTGCATTTTCCTGGATTGCCAAAAAGCCTTTGACACAGTACCCCATAAAAGGCTGTTAAAAAAGTTGGAGCAACAGGCAGGAGTAAAAGGGACGGTGCTCCAGTGGATAAGGGAGTACTTAAGCAACAGGAAACAGCGAGTAACGGTGAGGGGGGAGACATCAGAGTGGCGAGATGTCACCAGCGGAGTCCCACAGGGCTCAGTACTTGGACCCATCCTGTTTCTAATATATGTGAACGATCTTCCAGAGGGTATAGACTCATTCCTCTCGATGTTTGCTGATGATGCAAAAATTATGAGAAGAATCAAGACGGATGAAGATAGACACAGACTACAGGAAGACCTGGATAAACTGGAGGAATGGTCTAGAAAATGGCTACTAAAGTTCAACTCGGGAAAGTGTAAGGTGATGAAATTAGGCGAAGGGAGCAGGAGGCTGAACACAAGGTATCATCTGGGAGGGGAAATCCTGCAAGAGTCAAATAGAGAGAAGGATCTGGGGGTTGATATCACACCGAACCTGTCCCCAGAGGCCCACATCAAAAGAATATCATCAGCGGCATATGCTAGACTGGCCAACATAAGAACTGCCTTCAGAAACTTGTGTAAGGAATCTTTCAGAACCCTGTATACCACTTATGTAAGACCAATCCTGGAGTATGCAGCTCCAGCCTGGAGTCCATACCTAGTTAAACACAAGACAAAGTTAGAGAAGATTCAGCGGTATGCCACCAGGCTCGTCCCGGAACTGAGAGGATTGAGCTACGAGGAAAGGCTAAAGGAGCTGAACCTCACATCCCTGGAAAACAGAAGAGTAAGGGGAGACATGATAACCACCTACAAAATTCTCAAGGGAATTGACAGGGTGGACAAAGACAAACTCTTCAGCACGGGTGGGACACGAACAAGGGGACACAGGTGGAAACTTAGTACCCAGATGAGCCACAGAGACGTTAGAAAGAATTTTTTCAGTGTCAGAGTAGTTAATAAATGGAATGCACTAGGAAGTGATGTGGTGGAGGCTGACTCCATACACAGTTTCAAATGTAGATATGATAGAGCCCAGTAGGCTCAGGAATCTGTACACCAGTTGATTGACAGTTGAGAGGTGGGACCAAAGAGCCAAAGCTCAACCCCCGCAAGCACAATTAGGTGAACAATTAGGTGAGTACCTAGTTGTACTCACCTAGTTGTGTTGGCGGGGGTTGAGCTCTGGCTCTTTGGTCCCGCCTCTCAACCGTCAATCAACAGGTGTACAGATTCCTGAGCCTATCAGGCTCTATCATATCTACACTTGAAACTGTGTATGGAGTCAGCCTCCACCACATCACTTCCTAATGCATTCCATTTGTCAACCACTCTGACACTAAAAAAGTTCTTTCTAATATCTCTGTGGCTCATTTGGGCACTCAGTTTCCACCTGTGTCCCCTTGTGCGCCTCAGGTTCTGTGTCTGGGGACACGCTTTGGGTAGATCCAATGTCCCTCTTTCACTGTTCCAGGGCTCTGGTCTCTCAGGTCGTCCGCAGGGTTATCCAGTCTAGCCAGCCTGCGGTCTACCCTCGTGCCCATGATGTTCAAAAGTTTACGGCTCTTGCTGCTGTGTTTGGGAGCATGTCCTGGGCTGACATTCAAGCACAAGGGTTTCTAGGTCGAACAAGGGCCTGGGCACCTGTTATCTCATTAATATTCCAGGCCCTCAGCGACCTTGTGTGGCTTTGGGCTATCAGTTGCAGCCCAAGGCCATTGTCCCATCTTTGTCTTGAGGCATGCAGTACTGCCACCTCCCGGGTAAGTTCCTCTTTTACTTATCTTTGGCTAGCTAGCTCCAGGGAGCCGACGGGGCTCCCCTTAGAAAACCAGTGTTGAGTGTAATGAAACAGGATTTTCTGGATAAGCCTGAGGAGGGGAAGGGGGAGAGGCCTGTGCGAACGTATGCGCGTTGGGTTGATGAGTATTTGCTTGTTACTTTGTTTGTCATTGGGGGGAGTTCTAGGTCTCTGTTCAGTCTTGGGTTGCACTTTTCTACCAGTTGGGGTCTGTTATAGGGGCACCTACCTATTTGGGTGCCTAACCTTGGTCGACCAGACATGAATATACTCTCAAAGAGCGGAGTTTTCAAGGGCCATTGCTCCCTTTGCCTCTCTGAGGGAACCAAGTTCTGGCTCGTGGTTCCCGGTATTGAAGATGTGTGATTGAAGCCCCGGACTAATATTGCTAATATCAGTTCGATAGCTCCAGGGAGCCTCCGGGGCTCACCCAGAAAATGGTGTTTCATTACATTCAATGCTGGTTTTTTCCTACACTGGCATTTTCCTCCTCCTTGACTTTGCTGTACCCCACACTACAGTTCTATGTTCCAGCAGGAATCTAGTGAGGAAGTTATTGTATAGTAGTTGTCTATATACATAATATGGCTCCTGTTCAGCAGTGTGCCATCAGTGTTTTCACTATACTTAACAAGAAACAATTAGGGTCATTGTTCAGAATGTTTGTCACTACCAGAATATAAAATAATGTCCATGACCATTCCTGTTTGACAATCACAGAGAATGAAGAATTTGAGTCCAAATCTGTCCATGATTTGTGTATTTTTTTTTTTTTTTTTTATATATATATACAAGAGTTGTTACATTCTTGTAGAGCCACTAGTACGCGTAGCGTTTCGGGCAAGTCCCTGGAATACGATCCCCGCCGCGAAGAATCCTTGTTACAACCAAGTACACATTTTACTGTTGCGTTAAACAGAGACTACAGTTAAGGAATTGGGCCCAGTAAATCCTCCCCGGCCAGGATACGAACCCATGACATAGCGCTCGCGGAACGCCAGGCGAGTGTCTTACCACTACGCCACGGAGACTGCTACGTAGAAGCACTGCTATAAGAAGTGTATAAGAGTATTTGTGTATAAGAAGTGTGTATTAATCTTTAACCTTCCCATTTTATTCGCCTAGTACATGTCTTGCCCTCCACTGTCTATCATTTTGGTTGCAGTTTTCAATATTTTCAAAATTAATACAGCTGAGAATTAGCAAAAACCAATTAGCAGATGTATTTTTCAAAAACAGGTGATGGAACTACAGAGACTTTGTTCCAATGGTCTTCAATTACATGGTTTCGCCGAGTGCATCATCATACAGAAGGCAAAAAAAACACAGCTTTGGAACTGTGGTGTTCCTCTAACACTGCAATCATGAACATTATACTCACCTAGTTGTGCTTGCAGGGGCTGAGATTTGGCTCCTTGGCTCGCTTGTCTCAACTCTCGACCGGTGTAAAGATTCCTGAGCCTGTTGGGCTCTATCATATCTTCATTTGAAACTGTATATAGTGTGTGCCTCCACCACATCACTTTTTAATGCATTCCATTTGTCAATAATAAATAAATAAATAAATAAATGTTTATTCAGGTAAGGTACATACAAGAGATTTTACAAAAATTTATAGATTTATTGATAGAGCTAGTACATACAATGCCTAAAGCCACTATTACGCAAAGCGTTTCGGGCAGGAAAAACACTAAGACTAAAACTTAATACTAATTGAGTATAAAGAATAAAATGTGTGAGAACAAATAAAAATAAAAATAAAAAAGGGGGGGACATGGCTGAAAAAGCAGCACAAATACTATTAGGTCGACAAACAGCGTTGTTTAAAAAAACAGACATGGGTTGACAATAGAGGGGTAAGGTAGGTTAAAAGGGAATTTATTAGATAGTGCTTCGTTTTTATCTTAAACTGGTTGAGAGAGGTACAGTCTTTAACATGATTGGGAAGGTCATTCCACATTCTGGGTCCCTTGATTTGTAGAGCATTTCTAGTTTGATTAAGTCGTACTCTTGGAATATCAAATAGGTATTTGTTTCTGGTGTGGTGCCCATTGGTTCTGTTACAACCTTCTAAGAAGCTTTTAAAGTCAGGATTGACATTACAATTCAGAGTTTTAAATATATAGAGTACACATGAGAGGATGTGCAGTGACTTAATATCTAACATATTCAGAGATTTGAGTAGGGGTACCGAGTGCTGTCTGGGGCCAGAGTTAGATATTGTCCTAATAGCAGCTTTGTGTTGAGTAATTAGAGGACGTAAATGATTTTGGGTAGTAGAACCCCAAGCACAAATACCATAGTTGAATATGGATAGATGAGGGAGTAATAGTGTCACCAGGGCAGGGCGAGGTACATAATATCTGATCTTAGAAAGAATGGCAACAGTTTTAGAAACTTTTTATGCTTTGTTTAGAATGTGTCCCTGGAAATTCAGTTTGTTATCGATAAGGACACCAAGGAATTTATCATCAACTTTACTACTGATTTGTATATTGTTTATTCTTAGATTAATTTCATTTGAGGATTTATTACCAAACAAAATATAGAAAGTTTTGTCAGTGTTAAGGGTGAGTTTGTTGGCAGTTAGCCAAAGATGGACTTTATTTAGTTCAGTATTCACTGTGGCATTTAGAGCAAGCGGGTCAGGACTGGAGAAAATGAAAGTTGTGTCATGAGCAAATAAGATTGGTTTGAGGTGTTGGGAGGCATTAGGAAGGTCATTAATGTAAATGAGAAAGAGGAGAGAGCCAAGTATGCTGCCCTGTAGAACACCAATGTTGATGGGAAGTGAAGGAGAAATTGAATTATTCACAGAGACATACTGGAGTCTGTCAATAAGGTAAGACTGAAGGTATTGCAGGGAGTGATCTCTGACTCCATAATGATGTAATTTAAGAAGAAGGTTTTAGTGGTTGACAGTGTCAAAAGCCTTATGCAAGTCCACAAATAACCCAACAGGGAACTCATTTTTATCAAGAGCTGTATGTATCAAGTTAATCATACTGTACTAATCAGTGCATCGTTAGTGCTTTTATTGGGTCTGAAATCATATTGGCAAGAGCAAAATATATTGTTTGGCTAGATATGAGTAAAGCTGCTTGTAGATTAGCTTTTCAAATATTTTAGACAAGGTTGGCAGAATTGAGATAGGTCTGTAATTGTTGACATCAGTGAGATCACCACATTTGTGGACTGGGGTTACTCTCGCTTTTTTTTAGAATATCCGGAAAGGTTTGGAGTTCAAGTGATTTGTTGAAGAGCAATGCAATGGCAGGAGCTAGAAATCTGGAGGCCTTTTTGTAAATTAGAAATTGTATCTCATCAAGGGCGCTTGACTTAGTTTTAAAGGAAAGGATTACCTCATTAACATCAGAGAAAGTAGCGCGAGTGTCTACACTCCCGCTACTAAAGACACCCCCGTGTACAATTACACAGAGGTGTCTTTAGGCCATTGCTCCTCGTGCCTATCTTGAGGGGGGCCAGGTTCTGGCTCTGGTCCTCGGTAGGCCTAGAGCTCCTTCGATTGACTGTTGCCACGGTCTAATATATACACATCACCCCGGGATAGCTCCGGGAAGCCTGCGGGTCTCACCCAGAAAATGGTGTTTCATTACATTCAATCCTGGTTTTATATTTTATTTGCAGTTGTTGGTTCCTGGGTGTTACTGGACCCTAAAGTTGGGGGCTGGCTGCTCAACCCTGATCATCCCCCGATTACATTCATGCAGACAGTTCTCTCTCTTCAGACTTCTCTGCCTAAGGTATACTGACCAAGAAGGGTAATTATGCAAATAGCTAAAGCTATGATTTATTTTGAGTATTGTCATAAAATCATATTGAATTAATTTTAGGGTTGGGCCAAGTTCAGTTAAGTTTAAAGTCCATAATATGTGTAGTAAAAGTGCATAAGAATAGATGAAATTGCAGAAACTGTGGGGTTGATGGGAGGCAGTTCTTATTTATAACCAGCCTTACCCACTCATACCACATGTCTAAACTATGCTAGAAATAATCCAGTCTCCCTTCATTTATCATGTTCTTGATAAGTCTACAGTATATCATAAATGACAACTCTATTTTCAAACCAATATTTACCCAGTTTGTTTCTGATTTTAAATGTATCCTGTTTGTATTTGTAGCAAGTACATTATGTCCGCGAGCGTTCTGTCCTGAGTTCGTATCCTGGCCGGGGAGGATTTACTGGTCGCAAATCCGTAACTGTAGCCTCTCTTTAACTCGACAGTAAAATGGGTACTTGGTTGTAAAAACGATTTTTCATTGGGGCTGTATTCCAGGGACCATAGGATTAAGAACTTGCCCAAAACGCTACGCGTACTAGTGGCTGTACAAGAATGTAACAACTCTTGTATATATCACTAAAAAAAAAAAAATTGTCAGTAATATACTTATTCCATACTTTCATTAGCTTATGTGCAGATAATGAGATGGGTCTGTTAATTTTACTTAGTTCACTAATTACAACTATAACCTCTTCCCAAGTCTGCTAGAAGATGGACAGGTGAGGTGTAGACTGGTAATATAAGCAGTCAGTAGCAGGTCATCATCACTTTACGGGCTATTCATGCCTGTGACACCTCTTGGGGTGGCTTAATCTTTATCAATCGGTCATCATCCCAGTTACAGCACCGCTCCTGTGCCAGGTAAGTCCACTATGAGGTCACTATAGCTCGTGCTACTTGGAACGTTTTGTTCCAAGTAGCTGAATGTAAAACAAGAAGAAGTAGTCGTCATCATTACGGGCTATTCATGTCCGTGCCACCTCTTGGGGTGGCTTAATCTTCATCAATCAGCCAGTCATCATCAGTTTAGCTCCAAGAGTGATTCAGTACAGACACTTGAGAGATACCACACATTTTGAACATTCACCAACAACTATGTAACACTCAACGTGTCCAGTTCCTATCCTCACAAGATGCTACTGCCTCGACACTGAGCAAACAACCAGACTCCGGACCGCATCGAGCTTCCACGCTCTCGTCCCACACTCAGCTCCAGGACTTCCCCCTCATTCAGAGTGGGCGCTGCACACACTACTACACACATGCCCCACATCCAAGCTCTCAACCCTCAGCTTCACGCGGCTCTCTGCCCTGCTCCAGGCTTTGTCTTCAACTACTACGACACTCCAATACCAACCAACCAACTGTTGAAACCAAGACCATACTAAATAAATATAAGAAACCACTATACAGAGTGTGTGTAATCAACCACCAAGGTGCATGTAATAATGTGTTAAAATCAAGCACCAATGTAATGTATTATTACGTGTACATTGGTGGTTGATTAGACACAGAGTTTAGTGCTTTTTGAAGAAAGGTTTAGGTTTAGGAAGAGGTATTAACTGTACACTTGGAAAAAGGTATTAATTGTAATTAGTGGACTAAGTAGTATTAACAGACCCATCTCATTATCTGCACATAAGCCAGTGAGAATATGGAGCAAGTATATTACTGACATAATGTACTTGCAACATATTCATTAATTTGTTCTATTTTATTTAGATATTTAATATATTGAAGACTTCCTACATCAGTTGATAAATAAGTGGTGTAGTGAGGTCAATATGACTAATGGGAATTGATATTTTTCATTAAAGAAACCTAAAGAGTTGTGGGTTCTGATAATAAAACCAGTGCTAAATGTAGTGAAACTCTAATTTCTGGGAGAGGGCTCCATGAGGCTGCTACGCTGATTGTGCCATACTACAAGGTGCCATCAGTCAAAGGTCTTGGTGGTCTACTGGGGACGGAGCCCTGGAGGCTCCATGAGGCTGCTACGCTGATTGTGCCATACTACAAGGTGCCATCAGTCAAAGGTCTTGGTGGTCTACTGGGGACGGAGCCCTGGAGGCTCCATGAGGCTACTACGCTGATTGTGCCATACTACAAGGTGCCATCAGTCAAAGGTCTTGGTGGTCTACTGGGGACGGAGCCCTGGAGGCTCCATGAGGCTACTACGCTGATTGTGCCATACTACAAGGTGCCATCAGTCAAAGGTCTTGGTGGTCTACTGGGGACGGAGCCCTGGAGGCTCCATGAGGCTGCTACGCTGATTGTGCCATACTACAAGGTGCCATCAGTCAAAGGTCTTGGTGGTCTACTGGGGACGGAGCCCTGGAGGCTCCATGAGGCTGCTACGCTGATTGTGCCATACTACAAGGTGCCATCAGTCAAAGGTCTTGGTGGTCTACTGGGGACGGAGCCCTGGAGGCTCCATGAGGCTGCTACGCTGATTGTGCCATACTACAAGGTGCCATCAAGGTGCCAATACCTTCTATAGCTTGTAGTCAAAAGTACGCTTGATTATCCTTAGAGTTTGGTTAGCTTTACTGACTGCTGCACCCACCTGTTGTGCAACATTTAATGAGTGGTGGATTTTGACTCCGATGTTCTTTTCTTCGTCAATCTGCTGTAATGTAATGTTATTAATTTGGTAGTCGTGATGTGGATTGTTATGCCCCACATGTATGGTCTTTCATTTGTCAATATTAAAAAAGCATTTGCCAGTCTTCTGACCATTTGTGGAGTTCATGTAGAGATCTCTTTGTAAGCCTTCAATATCATTATCATTTCCCACTTTACCATAACTTTCTGGGGGGAGTCCCATCAGCTCCACGGAGCTATCCACGCTGATATACTAATACTGTATTAGACTTTTGGCATCAGTCAGTGTGAATGAAGTTCTTAGGCCATGGTTCTTAGGACAATGAGCCATCCCAAAACAAACCCCTATTCTGGTTAAGAAATTGCTACTGAGAGCCGAACTAGTGGACAAAACTCGTCGAGCAAAAACGAGCATACGAGCATGACGTCACTGTCGCCGCACCGCCGCCTGCGCAACTTCCCCTACCCCGGGAAGGGGGAGCCCCAGACCCCTCGCACCAGCTACCCAAGACCTTAGTTCTAAGGCTGATACACTAGGCGAAAGTTGTGTGCTCTGACTCCTGACATTGGTGCTCAGCTCTGTGCCTGTGATGTGGTGGCTGTCTCTTGGGGTGCACGAGCCAGGAGTAATTCTTCAGTACTCGGGCTGCATGCGCCTAGGGTTCCCTTCCCTAGGTGCCCTGTAAGTATTGCCCATGGGGCTTTGGGGCCTCCTTCCACAGGTTCCTTGGGTTATGCCTGTGCTTGGTCGTTTGCTGCTCAGTTTTCGGCCGTCCTTTGTGTGCTGCTGTGTTCTGGCACCCTTGTTCACCTTAGGGTAGGAGGCAGTCTGCACTGGTAGGGGTGCAGGGTACTGCGCAGCTAGTTTTCACCTCTCATAGCGGCCGGCTCTGTTCTGCCTGGGTACGCTGTCCTCTTGTGTGTGTATTTTTTTTTCCTGCCTGGTAAGGGGGTCTACCTTGGATGTTGCCTCCTTGTGTATTGCTTACGCTACTCTGCTCTGGTGGTACCCCCCTGCTAGGTCCCCGTGAGTGTACACGTCCCGGAGGTTCAGTTAACCCTTAGACAGTGCAATACATACATATATGATTTGACATAAAGTAATTTAACATTAGTTTTTAAAACTTGCACAAACACCTTCCAATTTTTTTTGTGCATAATCAACTTGGCAAATGCTCTAACTTTGTCTAAATGATCACAGCGTAACTTGAAAAACAAGAGAATCAAAATTCATATTAAAATTGAAAATTGAAAACTTCAGATTTTCAATTCAGAATAAAAAATATGAACTATCATTAATTGTTCATTTAATGTTATTATTCTCTCAAAATAGCATATGATCTTTATTTTCATCAAATTAGAATATAGGTTTTCAGTACAGTTTACTTGAAAAAAAAATCGTCAATAGGGCATTTGAAATATGCGGCAAATTTAGACCAAAAAAATTATAACTCCAAATGAATAAAGTTTATGAAAATTCCATTCTGGAGGGATTGTAGAACAGACAGCTAGAATCAGTCAAAAACTGGAATATTAGAAGCCACTCAAAGTTGAAACTCTAGTTTCAGAGATAATTGAAATTGAAGTTGTCAACAATGAATAAAGGTAGTTTTAATTTGTTAATTTAACTGTGCATTTTAATAATCTTTGTTTTAGGCATTCGTACTCGAATATGTGAGAGTTGTAGGTCAATATGTGTTGAAATGAAGTCAAGAAAAAATAACCCCCAAAAAACACAAATTATAAGGATAATTATAATACAGTGGGGCCTCGACTTACGATGGTAATCCATTCCCAGAGACGGATCGTAAGTCGAAACGATTTTTCCCATAAGAAGTAAAGGAAATTGAATTAATCCATTCCCCATCCTCCAAAATATTAACTTACAAATACATTTTATACTAGATACAATGTTTTTTCTAACTCAATACAGTACATATGTTTATCTTACCTTTATGGAGAACTCATGATGCATATGGAAGATGGTGATGAGGGGGGGAGAAGGAGAGGTGTTACTGTTTGGAAGGGGAGTCCCCTTCTATTATAACATCAGGCAGTGATGACTTCTCTGGGTGTACACTCTCTCCTACATTTTGCCTGCATACCACTAGGACCTGGTTGTGATTCACTGCTTGTCTGTCTCGCTAAAAACCTTTCAGAGATTTTTGTTTTAACATGTGTTTTAATTCTTCAGGGGTAGAGGGTTTGGAGGACGGCTCTGCCCAGGGTCCCGACGTGGGGGATCCTGGGGCTGGGGGAGGAGTCAACCTGGGGACCTTGGGCCCCTTTGACCCCGCTTGGGTGCTTTTGCCTTCTTCGCTAGGCTTATTATTGCAGGGGGAGGGATTTTCTTACCC